TATATACTAATCTAGAATCCGTTAAAAATAAAATAATGATTATAAATTTCTTCACTAAAAAATAGAAAATGAATTACTTGCAACATTTTGTAAGACTATTTTCATTAATATTCTCGCTCCTGTTTCGACTATAATTATTATATAATTTTCCATTTTTGAGGGATTATTAAAATCTTCAAAGATGTAAAAAGTATTTTAATGTGATTCAAGCATTTGCATTACCTATAAGTTTTAGGTTAAAACGATTAAAATAAGTAGATATTCATTACTATGCATATCGAGTTATTTCTACCCATCTCTTTGAATTAAGAAAGTTCCCTTTAGAGTTAACTCTGTCGAATTTATGAACACCTTACTCTTAACGTACTTCCGGTCATATTTGAGTTTCTGAACGCTATAGAGTTAACTAATTAACTCTGACAAGGAGAGGCTACACTCTGCTCTTCATCAATTTTACTCAAACTTGCAGCGATGTTAAAGGAGCCTATTAAATGAACACCTATAAAGCCGTTCCCGAAGATTCGAAAGATAGGAGTGACTAATGAGATTTATTTGCTGGATCTTTGAATTATTGGGTAAGGTTTCCGAGAATAGGAATAATTAGAGCCGTTTGTTTTTTATGTGAGCTGGAAAATGTAATTAGGCTTATCTATGAGTTATAAGGCTACTGGGCTGCCTTCATAAAGCTTATTCTTTAACTTTTCTCTTAACAAGGAGAGGCTATGCTCTGCTGTTCATCGATTTTAATCAAACTTACAGCGATGTTAGAAGAGCCTACCAAATGAACATCTATAAAGCCGTTCGCGCTAATGGACCTTAGAAGCCGCGTAATGCATTTAAAAATCTGGAAAAAATCTGGAAAAAGTCTAATATATTGGAAAGTATACATTTTTGAAAGAGATGTTTTAGACAAAAATGATAGAGTTTAATAAGGTATTTACTGGTTTTATTGGTTTGATCTTGAATGACAAGGTCAAGTCAAGGTTGATGATGCCTCCCCCAAGGTCAAATCAATAAAGCCAATAAATACATCTTATTTAACCCTATCATTTTTGTCTAAGTCATTTTTCTACAAAATGCACTTTCCGAGATATTAGATTATTTTCAGATTTTTTTTTATACACTTTTAAATGCTCATTACTCGACTTCTAAGGTCCATTAGCGCGAACGACTTTATAGGTGTTCATTTGGTAGGCTCCTCTAACATCGCTGTAAATTTGATCAAAATCGATGAAGAGCAGAAAGCTTCGCTTTGTTAAGAATAAAAATTAAAGACTAAACTTTATGAACCCAGCCCAGTAGCCTTATAACTCACAGATAAGCTAATTACATTTTCCAGCTCACATAAAAAACAAACGACTCTAATTACTTCTATTCTCGGAAACTTTACCCAATAATTCAAAGATGTCAAAAGATAGCAAATAAATCTCATTAATCACTCCTATCTTTTGAATCTTAGTTCCAAAAGATAAATCATAATAATTAAATCAAAATCAAATATCAAAAAAAAAATAAAAAATGCATCTCGTTCATAATATAAGATTTATATAAGAAGTACACACACACACACACACACACACACACACACACACACACACACACACACACACACACACACACAGTGAGTAAAAAGTCTCGGACTGGTAAAATGTCTCGTAAACTAAGCATTTCCGAAAGAAATGTTTCCCACAAAAATTGTAAGATTTCAAATGATCCATTCAGAGATCTGATCTTGGGTGACATCGCTGAGGTCAAATCAAGGTCACATCGATTTTTTTTAATGGAACATCTTATTTTTTATTTCAGAATCTAATAATTAGTATCAAGAACTTTCCAAAACACAGAATAAAGTTTTTATTGAGTAGTTTTTGAGTTATAAGTATTGAAAGTTACAATATCGCCGACATTAGCATGATGCGAAGTGTTCAATCGATGGTTCTCTCTTGAATGTTGTTCAGGATTATGTCCTGGATAATATTTCTCAAAATCAAAGCCATTGGAGATTGTACCTCTTATTTTTATTTTTACGTAAAAATGAATTTTTAAATTCATTTTAAATTAATAATTTCAAAAATGAAAATAAGAGGAATAATCTCCAATGGCCAAATATTTGCAGTTAAATAAATCATTATATCACGTGTTTTTCTTATCCATACAATCTTACTCTATCACTGTACACAGACTCAATATTTATTTTTATATAGTAAAACAAGAGTTAAAGATTAACCTCACTAAAATTTGATAACATCCGATTTCGCAAATCTTTTTTCAAAAAAACAATATCGAGAATATACAGGGCACATCAAAATTTTTTTTGGCCAACGACTACATATTTAATAATGAATTTTTTACTAAACAGGATTCATTCTAAAAATAGTTCACGATAGAACGATACACATGAGCTTAATTCAGTAGAAACTCCGCTATCTCATATTAGAAGCCTATCTCATAATAGGCGACCTTATCTTATCGAATCAACATGTATTCCAAATAATAAATTTCTAAAATAATTAATCCAAAAAATTATAGTTAGTTTCAGCTACTCTCGATTTCATCTTCTCAATCCCAAGATTGCACGAGATCTGTTCTCTGATGAAAAAAATTGAGTTCCTTGATCAAAATAGAAACCACGAGTGCACTGTCTCAAGCGACGTAATAACGCTTTGTATTTGCGTTGACTCGCACCAAAGATTTATTTGAGTGCTTCCAATTTGTGGCACGCACTCACAGAGCGATAAGTCGCAAGAATGATATTCTTCCATTCCCCCCTCCTAACTCCCTCTCGATTCACTTCCCATGTGAATCTTGTAATTTGGACGTAACATTGTTTCGAATTAATTAGATTGCAAATTACATTTATAAATGTTTAATTTTGTAGTGAGACCCAAAGTTATAAAGGCAGCTAAAGAGGGATTGAAAAATTCACTGAGAAGCTATATGCTTAGACCAGTAATACGATCAGTAGAAATGGACGAGCCATTAGAATATCTTACAGAGATGAGGCAAGTGGTCATACTCTTTATCAACATCATCACAACGGTTGTTAGTAATGAAGAATTGATCTCGCTCGTTGACACGACTTATAAATTAATCTGCGGGTAAATACCCAAATTTATTTATTTTTATCTGATTTTTTTTATTATCTAGAGCTATATTAATAATTATATTATATTAACACAATAAACCGCAAAAATAACGTTTTTTTATTAAATATTAATATATATATAATTTAAAAAAGAACTTATATATAATCCATATATATATAATTTTATATATATATACATATGTATATAATATTATATCGTTATGAATATTTTTTTTAATAAGTATAAACAATGAGTTTTTATTTTTCAAGGGTAGTTAGTGAAATGAACGGATGCGTAAACAAGACATCTCTTTTCGACAAAGGCCTAATGTTTCTTTGCATATTTGGACTGCGAGGCGACAAACACGTGTTGGAATCACAGATCGGATTGAAATGTGCCAATAGGGTGCGGCAAGATCTTCTAACGATAAAAAACGTACAATCTGTGACAATCGCTGTTACCACTGGAATGACATATTGCGGTGTAGTTGGTCATATTTTACGAAGGGAGTACACTGTGATCGGAATGGCAGTGAACAAAGCAGCCCGTTTAATGGTCGCATACAGTAACAAAGTAATTTAAATCAGAAAAAAATAATGATTTAATTTTTGTTCATATTCTGTTTGTTATCATTTTATAGATGTAGGCAAATAAACTCTCTTTCGCAAATATGTTATTAAATTGAAAAACAAGTTACCATCGACATTAAATTTTAACACCTTTATAATTAAAACATAACAAATATTTTACTTTTATTTTATGTAGCAGTGTAACTTTTATCTTTAAGGTAATATGCGATCGAGAGAGTTTTTTGCGCTCTCGTCTTGAAACGAGACACTTTATACTGCAAGAGCCAAGACATCTGAAAGGAATCACAAATGTCGGTCCGGTTTATGAGTTCCAAGAACAGATAAAGTATTTAAAAATTTTTTAATGTCGTAATTTTCTGAACATTGCCATTTATTTTTATAAAGTGTTATTTCTTAAAAATACATGAATTTATATTTGATTGTAGATTTACTACGCCTGAATTAATACAGAAAAAGTATCCTTTGCTTGGACGACAAAAGGAAATCAAAATTTTTCAACGAATGCTATCAGATTTGATAACACAATTCACTTTGGATGGAACAACACATGATTTGCAGCTCGAACACAATATGCTAATTATAAAGTGGGTGAAATATAATATTCCATTGAAATTTTAATTTAATTTTTTAATTTGTAATTTTCTTGATTATTAATTTGCAAATTATTTTTATAACATTTATTAATATTTTTGTATTAATCTTATCTATCTTTTATTTATAATCTTATTATCTATTTTCTTATTTATAATCTGATTTTTAGAGGTCTTCTTTTTTAGAGGTGAACCAAGAATCGGCAAGACGAGATTGTTGGATGAAATTGCACTGAATATACCTGCAAATATATCACGCAACTATATTCCTTTGGTCATGAGCGATGCTAAGGTTGACTGCTTGCGATGCAAGACTTTTTTTAACACATATTTAATTTAATCGATGTTAGAAGTAACATACATAAAATCGAAAGTTTACTATTCTTCTTTTATCATATTTTAATTAGAAATTATTATTATTTCAGTAAATATGCATTTTAAGTTATTCATTTCATCGATTTCAATGGAAATCGATCTTTAGATATGTTGTAGGGGAGAGTGTCCACCTGAGTGATTTTCCACAAGAATTAAGTGGACGACATTGGTTTAGAAGATATAATAAATTAAAGTTTTACAATAAAGTCATAGCATACAACTTTCCACGCGAAGCAATTTTCATCCCACCTCCCCTTTGCTTAGGACACAACTTTTCAAAGAAATATAGTAAATCTCGGAAAGTTGTGCGCTCCGAAGCAGGGAGGGGGGATGATGGGGTGAAAGTCGTTTCGCATCAAAGCAAGGGGATTTTATTATAGAATTTTAATTTATATTTTTATTATATCTTCTAAACCAATACCATCTCCCACTTAATTCTTATGGGAAATCACTCAGAACACTCTCCTCTAAAGAACATTGAAATCGATGAAGCGTAACTTAAAATGCATATTTACCATTATTTTAATAAAGCACTTATCTATTAAATAATTATTAATTAAATTTTTTATTTTTTCCAATTACAGATTAAATTAAGAGTCAGAATAGAGTTAAAAAATAAGTGGTTTTTTTTTTAACATAGACTTCTTACAGTTTGATCCATCTGATATTTTCCATACCATTGGGCCTCAGTGTCGTCACTACTCCGAGCGAGCGCGAAGAAATACTGATGTCACGATTAGGCCGTATACGTAATCCAGAATTTCTTTGTGCCCTTAATCAGCCCTTCAATGTGCAGTTCAAGATGAATTCATATTACACAGCACTATCTAGGAAGCAAAAGCACAATGTATTGCGCAAATTTCTACTCAAATTAATGAAAAACTGTTTCAAGGAACTATGGGTGATAATTATCGATGACACTCAACATAGTGACAATGATTCTATGAAATTGTTTCGTACGATGATCAAACAAAATACAGTCTTCTTCATCCTCAGTTTTGGACGTATGTTCAACAGCAATTACGAAATATACTCCAATATTTCGGAGAAAGCACAAGTATGAACATTGAAATCGATAATTAAAGTGATTTCTTTAATATTGTCAATAACGCGTCTTTTCTTTATTTTTCATAATTAATATTTTATAAAAAATAAAAATGTTGCATTAAATTTACATGTGCGATATATTCTTTTACATTTAACTTTATTGCTATACTACGCAGAGATATACGCAAAACTATAAATTATTTTTTATTATTAATAGATCATCGAATTGGGTTGCATAGACAAATGGTATCACGCAGCGCTTGCATGTCAGTTTCTTGATGTAGACGGAATTCCTCCGGAACTCGAGAGGTTGGCCATTCTAAATAATTTTTATTAATAAATAGTCACAACATATATAGATTTCTTTGTGGCTATATTTTGTGTATTTGCACTTCATATTTTTAGATTGATTCAAGAAAAAAGTTTTGGTAATCCAGGATGGATAGAAAGTTATTTGCTGAGTCTCACGCAATCTGGTAATCTTGTAACAGTGCATATCAGCAAAATACTTGCCGAGGAAATGGGTTATGTGCTTCCTCCCATTTATATGCTAAAAAGGTCTTATTATTTTATTTATACTTCTAGATTCTAATTTATCTGATATCTTTATTTTCTCTTGAATATATAATTTTGTAATGTAAAATTAAATTATGTAAAAAGAAGAAATATTTAAAACAAAAAAATTAATTCAAATCTTTCCAAATATCTTTTCATTGTAGATAATAATTTTACTAGGTAATAAATAATGAAATATTTTTTCTTACTTGCAAATATATTAATATTATTAATAACAGTTGATTAATATAAAATTATTACAAATACATAATGATCAATAAATGTTTAGATCTGAAGATATCTTAGAAGATTTTCCAAATAACGAAGAAGAACGTTCAGACAAGTGGAAAATGTACAGAACAAGCTATCGTGTATATTCTCTTCTGTTTCTTCTCTTTTGTTTTATTAATTATTTCTAATTAAGAAATTATAAGATATTCGTTTTAATTTTAGAATAATTCAATATCTCCGATGATGTTGCAAACCATTTATAAAACGGGAATGTCAATTAATGATGAGGAAACAATTGCCGTTTGCAAATTTATAGAAGGTTTTGAAGAGGGAGATACTGAAGTGACAATGGACGGTAATTAAGATTATTTTCGATAAATTAATAATAATAATAATAATAATAAATATTCAGATGAAAAGAGCCAGCGTCAATGACCTTGACATACGTTCAAGATTGAGCTTGAATAACCTCCAACAAGTTTTAGCTGCCGTTTGTTATTTGGTAAAAAGTTATTAACAAAAAAATTTGAAAAATAACATCTCATTTTTGCTACAAGTAATATTAAGAATTATCCCTATATTCTCTCCTGATTATCTATAATGATTTTCCACGCTAAGCGAGATCCACTTCACTTCATCTCTTGCCAAGGGGCACATGATTTTCAACGCAAAGCGAGTTCCAACCCCATCTTCATCCCTGCCAACGGGTGAAGATGGGATTGGAATTCGCGTAGAAAGTGATGCACTCCTCGGCAGGGGAGGGAAGTGGAGTGAAACTCGTTTTACTTAGAAAGTCATTATTCTCCATAAATAAGAGGTGTAAGGTAATATTTAATACTATTATATATACAGAGTATATCAAAAGTTTGTAAACGATCGAATATCTTGGAAGCAAAATATTTTTGAGAAAAATGTTTTAGACAAAAGTTGTAGGAGTTAAAAAAAATCTATTCACTAATCACATTCGCTTGACTTTGGATGGCGTTGTTAAGATTAGGTCAAATTGATTTTTTTTAATGGATATTTTTTTGATGCCAGAATCTAACTGGAGTCAAGAGCTTTTCAAAACTCTATAATAAAATTATTTTTCATTAAATATTTTTTTAGTTATTACAGACATGAAGATTATTGTACCGCCGGCATTAATATTATACAAGATGTCCGACCGACACTAAAAACTTTTTGAATATTGTTCAGGATAATCATGAACAGGATAACATTTATTAAGAACAAGGCTGTTTGAGGTTGTACTTGTTATTTTCATTTTTGCACAAGAATTCATTTTTCATAAAAATGAAAATAAGAGGTACGATCTCCAATGACTTTAATCTTGACAAATGTTATCTGAGACATGATTCTGAACAGTATTCAAGAGGTTTAGGCCATCAATTGGATACCTTGCGTAATGCTAATGCCGGAGGTACTATAACCTTCAAGCCTTATAACTAGAAAATATTTAATGAAAAATAACTTTATTAGTGTTTTGAAAAGTTTTTAATACTATTAAATTATTGCATCAAAAATAAATGCTCTATTTAAAAAAATTAGTTTGACTTTAATTTGACAATGCCATCCAAGGTCAAGCAGAAGTGATCAGTGAATAGATTTTAAACCCTACAACTTAGTTTGAAACAACTTTTGTTTGAAACATTTTTCTCAAAAATACTTTGCTTCCGAGATATTCGATCGTTTCCAGACGCCTTGTATACTAAAAATAAGACAATATTTCTTAAATTTCTTTTATTAATAACTTTTTAACAACGACTGAAATCTGTTGGAGGTTACTCATGATCTTAACAACATATCAAGATCAAGGTCATTGGTACTGACTCGATCTCTCCATCTGAACATTTATCATATGTTTTTATAAATTAATATTTATTTCTGTTTATATAGTATAATATTTTGAAATATATATTTAGTTAATTTGCACAATATTTCTATTTTTTTGTGTCGTATAATTTTATAATTATCCTATATTATATCGCTAGCAATGATTTTGAAAATTTTCGACTCGTTAACACCATTGGATCAAATGTTATTAAAATGCGCGTCAGTATTGGGAGAAATTATTAATAGAAACATGTTACAAAACCTAATGGAAGATAAATCTACGAGAGAAATTGGACTCGGTAAAGAAATATCTAGGATAATACAAATGTTGTAATAACAATCCTCTACAATTCTTATAGAATGAATAATTTAAATAATTATATAACTTTGTTGCTATTAAATATTATTCAAAGTACTTATTATTATCGTAGCTGTCAAGAAACTCTTTGAGATTCGAATTTTTGGATGCGCACGAGGTGATTTTACTATGAGCAGTAGACCGTTGGTATTTAATAGAAATAGATCGCTGGTATTTAATGGAAATAGAAATACAAAGGAACCTATGCTCGAGACACAAATTGCGTGCAAATGTGTGAATCTTATGATACCAGGTAGTGAAACAAATATTCGAATATAAAATATAAAATTATGCCGCTTAAAATTTTTTATTATATTCGCTTAAAATTTTTAATAAAAGCCAAATTTATTTAGACGAACTAACTGATTTACCACGATATACGTCTTGTGGTTTGATGTATTTCAAAATGTCGATGTTCCGCGAAACTACTTACAGGTGATGATTTTACTATTCAGATATAATAATAACAATAGACATATACACACACATT